CTGATGTGGACTCGGATCTCTCTGCAGGTTTGAAAGTCTGGAACCAGAGATGAACAGCCAGGCTTCTCGTGTTGCCGTGGTGAACCAGATCGCTCGACAGCTGATTCACAACAGCCACCCTGGTGAGAAGGACATCAAGAGCCAGCAGGACAGGCTCAACAACAGGTACAGACTGAACGTCCAGGTAGCCTGACTAGGATAGGTCCTTTAGATCCTGACCATCCTCCGGGTTTCTTGCAGGTGGAGTCATTTCCGGGAGCTGGTGGACCAGAAGAAGGAGTCTCTGAATTCAGCTCTGGGTGTGCAGAACTACCATCTGGACTGCAACGAGACCAAATCCTGGATCAAAGAAAAGACCAAAGTCATAGAGTCCACCCAGGACCTGGGCAACGACCTGACCGGGGTGATGGCCCTGCAGCGCAAACTGACCGGCATGGAGAGAGACCTGGTTGCCATTGAGGACAAGCTGGGTGGCCTGAGAGGGGAGGCCCAGCAGCTGGGCCAGGAGCACCCGGACCAGGCCATGGCAATCACAGGTCGGCTTGCTGAGATCACTGCCGTCTGGGAGGAGATGAAGAACACTCTGAAAACTCGAGAGGAGTCTCTGGGCGAAGCCAGGAAGCTCCAGCAGTTCCTGCGTGAGCTGGACGACTTCCAGTCCTGGTTGTCTCGGACTCAGACAGCCATCGCCTCTGAAGATATGCCCAACACGCTCGCCGAGGCTGAGAAGCTGATGGCCCAGCATGAAGGCATCAAGAACGAGATCCAGAACTATGAGGAGGATTATCAGAAGATGCGAGACATGGGGGAGATGGTGACGCAGGGCCAGACAGACGCTCAGTACATGTTCCTGCACCAGCGTCTGCAGGCGCTTCACGTTGGATGGAATGAGCTGCACAAGATGTGGGAGAACCGGCAGAACTTGCTCTCCCAGTCCCACGCTTACCAGCTGTTCCTGAGGGACACCAAGCAGGCCGAGGCCTTCCTCAACAACCAGGTGAGTCCAGAGGATTCACCTGGCCATATGGAGACCTGCAAAGACCCTCCAGACCAGGAAAAATGTTCCTGACACACAATGTTCTGATCCAGTTAAACCTAAATCACCTGCTGCTCTCCCATAGAGTCCTGTGAAGTTTTAAGAAGCTCTTTAGGTCACTTGAAGACCTCCACTGATGTTTCGGTCTTTCAGGAGTACGTCCTGGCTCACACCGAGATGCCCTCCACCCTGGAGGCTGCTGAGGCTGCCATCAAGAAGCAGGAGGATTTCATGACCACCATGGATGCCAACGAGGAGAAGATCAACGGTGTGATGGAGGCGGGTCGGAGGCTGGCCAGTGATGGAAACATCAGCGCAGACCGGATCCAGGAGAAGGTCTCCTCCATCGATGACCGGTAGCTTCCACCCCAGGAAACCTTTCAACATCTGTTCTAGAGGGGTCAAGGGATTAAGGGTGGGGGGTGGGGGGGTTACAGGTCTTCTCTGATGGTTTCTTTACGTTCCAGGCACAAGAAGAACAGGGAGGCTGCTGTGGAGCTGCTGATGAGACTGAAGGACAATCGAGACCTGCAAAAGTTCCTGCAGGACTGTCAGGAGGTCGGCCATCTTTCTTATAGTTTAGACCAACATCTGGATTCCTACAGAAACGCCAAACAGCTGGTGTGAAGGACAAATGTTTCACTGCAGGAATCCAGCTTGTTGGTTTGGTTTAGACCTGGTGGGTGGGATGAACTACCTTTAAGAATGAAAGCGTACTGGTTCTGATGGACCTCTGTCTTTGCAGTTGTCCCTGTGGATCAGTGAGAAGATGTTGACGGCCCAGGACCTGACCTACGATGAGGCCAGGAACCTACACAGCAAGTGGCTGAAGCACCAGGCCTTCATGGCCGAGCTGCAGTCCAACAAGGAGTGGCTGGACAAGATCCAGAAGGTATTGAGGGTCCTGAGCAGATGAGCAGGTCATCACCACCTTCAGGGTCAAGTCAGCCAGTGGCGATGACTAAGTTTAGTGGGGCGGGGCCCAACTCCCTTCCTACAGTAGAGAAAGGTCAGCCCGCCCATCTCTTACCGCGTAAAGGGTTTGGTTGAAACGCTTTTCGTGAACGTTAAAAGTACAATACGTAAAAATCTTACACTGAAATGATCACAAAGCAGTCTAACGTCTCCATGGCGTTGGAAGGAAGGTTGCATTGAAACCGATTTCCTTCCTCGCCGACTGGGAGGTTGTCAGTTTTTCTCCGGGGGTGCTGAGCCAGTAAACAGGAGCGACCCAGAAGTTATTCCTTGTACCCGTAAGAGGTCACAACATCTTTTGTTTTACTCTAACACTGAGCGAAGCAGGGGAGAGGCTAACGTTGCGCTAACAATGCTAATGGTGTTAGAAGCAAATAGCCAACTCTAAAAATATCTCAAGCTACTTTTCCACAATTGTGTTTGTGTTTACGAACACATTTGACTATCGCAGAATTGTATTTTGAAATGCTTTATTTTGTTAAATTTACCGGCCTGCCTCTTATGTCTAGGTTTGACTTCCTGCCAGAATTGACGCGGTTCACCTGCGGCTCGTGAAAAAAGTAGAGCAGATGCCGAAACGATCGCTGCACGGCGCGGGCTGGAGCGCCGGTGCGAGCGGCGCTTCGGCGGCCCATGTGGTCTATAGAATAGGATAACAAGGGCGCCGAATGGTCTGCGCAGTGGTGCAGTGGTTAGAGCTGTTGCCTTGCAGCAAGAAGGTCCTGGGTTCGCTTCCCGGCCTGGGATCTTTCTGCATGGAGTTTGCATGTTCTCCCTGTGCATGCGTGGGTTCTCTCCGGGTGCTCCGGCTTCCTCCCACAGTCCAACAACATGACTGTTAGGTTGATTGGTCTGTCTAAATTGTGTGTGTGTGTGTGTGTGCATGACTGTTTGTCCTGTGTGTCTCTGTGTTGCCCTGTGATGGACTGGTGCTCTGTCCAGGGTGTACCCCGCCTGATTGGCCGTTGACCGCTGGAGATAGGCACCAGCCACAAACCCCCCCCCCCCCCCCCCCCCCGACCCTGCTTGGACAAAGCGGGCTCAGAAGATGGATGGATGGAAGGGCGCCGAATGAAGGCGGGCCCAATATCGCGGCGCTTCGGCGGCCGGTCTGTCCCCGGCCTTACTCTGAGAGGCGCTATACGAGTGCGGGTCATTCATCATTTATAAAACCGACCAAAGTGCTTCACAGAAGCTAAAAACATTGAAAAACAACACACAACATAAGAATGCATAGAGACTAAAGCTTAAGACCGATCACTAGAAAGACTTTCATGCTGAGTTAAAAGCCAAATCATTAAAACCGGTTTTCAAAAGAGATTTAAAGCCAGACGGTGGAGAGGCCGACCTCGTGCTCAAAGGCAGCGCTTCCCAGTGCATTCCAGCAGTGTTGCTGGTGGAAATGTTATGGAAACAATTCAGATTTCTTGTAGAGATTCGCCAGTAAGCTAAAGTTACACATCAATAATAAAAATATCTTTTATATATAAACACACAGCGCCCCCTATGGCCAAGCCGCCACTGAAACCAGGTTTTTTTTTTACAGTCGCTCGTTTCACACAACCAACAGAACTCACACAGTCCAGAAGACCGTCAGAACTTTTGATCCAGTTCTGTGGATTTTCCATCAGCAGTCCCTAACCCCATATGAAGAGGTCAGAGGGCGTCAGAACTAAAGAGACAGTGTCAGGAAGTTCTAGGGTTCCTCTGATCTGAGAATTGGATTCCAATCAGTTCTTCTAGGTGAATGTTTGGTACCAGGCAGGTCGTGTCTGGTTTAACTGTTTTTACCTGTTAGAAGAGGTGACCATCTCTGTCCGGCTTCAGGATGGGATGCTCCTGGTGTCGGAGAAGCCGGAGACCGAGGTGGAGGTGAAGGAGAAACTGGCGTCGCTGCGCTCCTTGTGGGAGAATCTGGAGTCCACAACAGAGACCAAAGCTCAGTGTCTGTTTGACGCCAACAAGGCGGAGCTGTTCACTCAGAGCTGCACCGACCTGGACAAGTGGCTGGCGGGTCTGGAGGGCCAGATCCAGTCCGATGACTACGGGAAAGACCTGACCTCCGTCAACATCCTGCTGAAGAAGCAGCAGGTACGGGTCCACTGCAGCTGCCTGGTACCAGCTCTGTTGTTTGTGTCAGACTTGAGTAGCATCATGACCGACTCCTCCTCCTCATCCTGCTAGATGCTGGAGAACCAGGTGGAGGTGCGTCAGAGGGAGGTGGTGGAGCTGCAGAGCCAGGTAAAGGCTCTGGGTCAGGAGGTGAAGGACACTGACGAGGTGGACGGACGGAGGCAGCTGGTAGAAAATAAGTTCCAGGATCTGCTTGAGCCGCTGCGGCGCCGCAGAAACTTCCTGGTGGCGTCGAGGGAAGTTCATCAGTTCAACCGCGATGTGGAGGACGAGATCGTACGTAGACACCCTGACTCCTCCCACCTGCAAACCAGGCTCCTTGTGTCAAAACCCTCATGCTTCTTGTCTTCTGCAGCTCTGGGCCCAGGAGAGGATCCCTGTGGCCAGATCCACCGACCACGGTCATAACCTGCAGACGGTTCAGCTGCTCATCAAGAAGAACCAGGTGAGTTCCTTTTCGTGAGCTCAGAGCTACAGTGGCTTCCTGGTGGCTTCCTAACGCTCCTCCTGGTGGCGTTTTGGACCTCAGACGCTGCAGAAGGAGATCCAGGGTCATCAGCCTCGCATCGATGACATCCTGGAACGCAGCCAGAACCTCCAGCAGGACGAGTCCTCCAACTTGGATCTGATCCGCCAGCGTCTGGCTGATCTGCGGCAGCTGTGGGAGGAGCTGATGGAGGAGGTGGAACAGCGGCACCGGCGGCTCCAGAAGGCCCACAAAGCCCAGCAGTACTACTTTGATGCTGCTGAGGCTGAAGCCTGGATGAGCGAACAGGAGCTCTACATGATGTCGGAGGAGAAGGCCAAGGTAGGGGTCACCTGGTCCAGTCCTAGTGCCAGAACCGATTTGGTCCTTGTACCGACCTGGTACCCTTCTGGTCCTGGTTCCCAGTCCAGTCTTGGTATCAGGTTCAGTACCCAGTCCCATCACGGTACCAGCTGTGGTACTGGGCCAATGAGCTACCGGGTCCAATCCTGGTACCCGTCAGGTTCAGGTACCGGGTCCAGTCCCGTTCTGATACCAACTCTTTGCTGTGAGCAGGACGAGCTGAGTGCCGTCACGATGCTGAAGAAGCACCAGATCATGGAGCAGGCGGTGGAGGACTACGCCGAGACCGTCCACCTGTTGTCCAAAACCAGCCGTGGCCTGGTGGCCGACCGACACCCGGACAGGTGATCTCCTGAAGCTGAACCAGTACCGGGCTGACCCGGTTCTGTCACTAACAGAACTCTGTGTGTTTCAGCGAGCGCGTCAGCATGAGGCAGTCTCAAGTGGACAAGCTGTACGCCGGCCTGAAGGACCTGTCTGAAGAGAGGCGGGGCAAACTGGATGAGAGGCTCCGCCTCTTCCAACTGAACCGGGAGGTTGATGACCTGGAGCAGTGGATCGCTGAACGAGAGGTGGTGGCTGGGTCACACGAGTTAGGACAGGACTACGAGCACGTCACGGTGCGTTACCGACCCATCACCGGGGGGGGGGGGGGGGTTCTACTGCCCAACCCGGTCCACCTGCGCAGGTACCGGAGCTGACCTGATTTCTGTGGTTCCAGATGCTGCAGGAACGTTTCCGGGAGTTTGCACGCGACACCGGGAACATCGGACAGGAGCGCGTGGACGCCGTGAACCGGCTGGCAGATGAGTTGATTAACGCGGGGCACGGAGACGCCGCCACGGTGGCGGAGTGGAAGGACGGACTGAACGACGCCTGGGCGGACCTTTTGGAGCTCATCGACACGCGCACGCAGATCCTCGCCGCCTCCTTTGAGCTACACAAGTTCTACCATGACGCCAAGGAGATCCTGGCACGCATCGCCGATAAGCAGAAGAAACTTCCAGAAGAAGTGGGCCGGGACCAGAACACGGTGGAGACGCTGCAGAGGATGCACACGACCTTTGAACATGACATCCAGGCGCTGGGAACACAGGTAACGCGGGGGGGGCTGGAAGATGCTCCACCTCTCTTACAGGGCTCTTCGGTTCTGATGCTGGATCCAAATTTCAGGACTCGATGTCCTTGAAGTTGTTGAGAACACTCATTAAGGTCAGTGAGGTCAGGTGACATGTTTTCTCCATCAGACCGCCTGTCCTCTCCGTCTAGCGTGGACATTGTTGTCCCTCGTCTTTGAGATCTAAACGGACACCGGGTGGTCCGGCTGTTTTGGACCGTCCTGCTGCTGTTTAGTTTCTCCATCACGGTGGTCAGAAAGTCCCTGGCTGGGCTCAACTGCTCGGCTGGTCTTAGATTTAGTCCCGAGGGTGGACATGTCTCTGTTTCACAGAGGTGTTGGCTTCGAAATGTGCTGGAAAATCAGGGCTTGGAAAAGGTCTTCTCAGTTTCTTCTGAGCTCCAGATCCGTGTGAAAATCAACATTCTTCTGCGTGTTCCTCCTTCCTTTCATTGGTTTGGATGTTCTCCTAGACAGGTCAGATGAAGGTCTATAGTCCTCTTGGTGGTGAGATTTATAAAGTAGACTCTGGACCGGAGACCCAGACCCTTACAAGGTCCATGAAGGGTAACTTGATGTCTCTGGTGTCCTCCCTGGTGAATTTGATGTCCACCTGATTTAAAGAGTCCATTAGATGCTTCCACTTCTTCAGGTAGAACTAGGTGGACCCCACAGTCAACCTATCAAAACCAGCAGCTTGGTGTTGTTCCCTCCTCAGAGTTCAGTTCTGTGTGTTCCACCTCCTCCATGCAGAACCTCTCCACAGAGGGAGAAGCTGGAGATCTCATGGTGCTTCTGCCTGTAGAAGCGGTCTTTTCATCTGAAACAGTTGGTGGAGAAGAAAGTCTGGAACAAGTCCAGAGTCCTGGTCCTGCCATCCCGACCAGGAAGGCTTTTGGATGAGAGGTAGAACGTCCTCCAGAACCAGGATGGGTCCAGATAAGAGTTTAGTCTTAGTCTGGTGAAGAAGTGAAGAACAGACTCGCTTCGTTAAAATCAAAATTGTTTTTCTGAGCAGGTCAGAAGAAAGGTTTATTCAGGTTCCTGGTTTCATCCCAAGGTTCTGGACTGATTCGTGCCGTTTTCAGGTGAGACAGCTGCAGGAGGACGCCATGCGTCTGCAGGCTGCGTACGCCGGGGACAAGGCAGATGACATCCAGTGCCGGGAAAGCGAAGTGCTGGAGGCATGGAAGAGCCTGCTTGGGGCCTGTGACGGACGTAGGCTCCGCCTCCTAGACACTGCAGACAAGTTCCGCTTCTTCAGCATGGTCCGGGACCTGATGCTGTGGATGGAGGACGTGATCCGGCTCATTGAAGCCCAGGAAAACCCCAGGTAGGCCCACGGACTGCAGCTCCCCGCTGACTGGCGCGCCTCTCAGGCTGATGGAGATGTTTGTGTCTTCAGAGATGTCTCATCCGTAGAGCTTCTGATGAACAACCATCAGGGCATCAAGGCAGAGATCGACGCTCGCAACGACAGCTTCACCACCTGCATCGAGCTGGGGAAGGCTCTGCTGGCCCGGAAACATTATGCTTCAGAGGAGGTGAGCAGGTGGATCACAGGTGACTCATCTGTTCACAGCAGATGTTTTCACATTCCAGATGTTTTCTGTTGTTCAGATCAAAGAGAGGCTGCTGCAGCTGACCGACAAGAGGAAGGAGATGATCGATAAGTGGGAGGATCGATGGGAGTGGCTCCGCCTCAGTAAGATTCACTTCCTGGTTACTTCCTGTTGGACATCAGTCATGAAGAGCTGCCGATCTCTGATGACGCTCTAACCGTCCTTCTGCTCCTCAGTCCTGGAGGTGCACCAGTTTTCCCGGGATGCGGGCGTGGCCGAGGCCTGGCTGCTGGGCCAGGAGCCATACCTGTCCAGCAGGGAGGTGGGGCAGAGTGTGGACGAGGTGGAGAAGCTCATCAAACGCCACGAAGCCTTCGAGAAGTCCGCGGCCACCTGGGAGGAGCGCTTCTCCGCCTTGGAGAGGCTGACCACGGTTAGGAGGGGTGACGGAGGGGGCGCAGTGATGATGATGAGGAGGATTATGATGAGGAAGATGACTTGTTTTCCAGCTGGAGCTGCTGGAAGTGAGGAGGCAGCAGGAGGAGGAGGAGAGGAGGAGAAAGCCACCTTCTCCAGAACCCGCTGTGGTCCAGCAGGATGACATTCAGCAGCAGAGGTGAAACTCCAACAGGCACCAGAACCGGGTTCATCAGATGTCCTACTAACACACACACACACACACACACACACACACACACACACACACACACACACACACACACACACACACACACACACACACACACACACACACACCGTCTTTCAGCAGCGGGCGATCAAATCCTTACCAGCCAATAAGATCTATGTTTGTGTTTTTCTGCAGCGCTGTGACTCAGAACGGACTCGGGTCGGATCAGAACTCTCCTCAGGTTGGTTCCTCCTCTTCATCGCTTCACGCCTCTCTGACACCTCAGCTCTTTTATTTTGAAATTCGGTATGCTAAACTTATTTTATAAGAAAAACGTCAGAATAAACCTGCAGGTGTCTCTTTCACAATAAGAGTCTCCCTTTTCCTTCACAAGAATGCGAGTGGCTCTGCGGTTCTGTTGACTTCAGTTAAAACAGGAAATGTGTTGGTTTGGTCTGAAACTGAAGGGAACCTGTTTAGGCCTTGTTGGTGAATTTTGTACGTTTCTTCGGGGGTTTAAGTCGTCTCCCGTCTGAAGCTTTTAGAATGAAATCTGTTAAATCTGAATCCTAAAGACAGATGGGACAGAAGCTCTTCCTGGATTTAAATCAGATCCTTTGCTCTTCAGGTGGAAGGTGGAGACCTGGTGAACGGACTTGCTGAACGCAGCTCCAAAGAGCCAAGCCCCGCCCCCTCGCCAACCACCGGTAGGAAGACCAAAAGTAGCCAGTCGTCCACGCTGCCCAACAAGACCCAGGACACGCCCTCCCAGCTCGAAGGCTTCCTGCACCGCAAACGCGAGTGGGAGGGGCACAATAAGAAGGCCTCCAACAGGTTAGAGCCAATGAGCCACGGGGCTCCGCCCCCTATCAGCAGTGTTGGGCAAGTTACTTCCAAACTGTAATGCATTATTTATTACTCGTTACCCTCATTTTAAAGTAATTCATTACATTACAATATTACTGATTTTAAAATGTAAGAGATTACACTACTTTTGCATTACTTTAAGTTACTTTCACCAGTACAACTTCAATATGAATCTGGTCATGTGACGCTCAGTGTAACAGTGCTTTGAAATGATTGTTTATTAAATAAAAACAACAACAATCTGTACTCTCAGCACACTGCCATCTTAGATTACCTGAGCAGGGAGTGAGGTGGTGGGGGTGTCATGACTCGAGGTAGGTGTCCAACCCAAGACGTGCAGAATCAGACTCGACGAGCAGGTTGAGTAAAAGGAAAATTCTTTATTCAACAAACGGGAACAAAAGTAGCACAGGGAAGTCCCGTGGGGGGTGAGCGGTACAGCTCTTGTCCATGTAGCGCTCTGGGTGAACGAGGGAGGCGGGGAAGCCGAGGTGAGCGCTCTGGGATGGGTGAGGTAGCAGAGGGGGACCAGACGGGAACAACGGAGGAGGATGGGACGTGGTGCATGTAATCCAGAGTTCAAAACGGCAAGGGCGAGGCAGGTTGTGTGGAGATCCCGAGGGAAGGCAAACAAACGCCAGACTTGAGGGTAATCCAAAGACGTAATCCAAACACAGTCCGAGTTAAAAAATCCGAGGAATCCAAACGAGTCAAAGGGAACAAACAAGAGCAAGTACGGGTGGCTGGGGCTACCTAAACTGGAGCAATCATCCGGTGTAGCGAGGTGTCTCCATCCTCCTTTTATACCAGAGTTCCTGATTGGGAATCTTCTGCAGCTGCAGCCCCCTCCGCCCCTCACCTGTGGGGAATCAGCTCGAGAACGGTTAGATTGGAGATGGTGTCACTCACCTCGGCTCGGGAACATGACGGGGGGCTCCAAGCCTATATTTGCCTTGGTCCCCAAATGCCTTGATACGGCCCTGGACGTGAGACTGACTTCTGGGGTGATCTGATTCTATCACATGTATAAATATTAAATGCTTATATATTATTGCTTTTCACTGGTAAAAGTGTGTGTTGGGGATAAATCTACCTACTTTTTTCGTTTTTTCTTGATTTTATGTGAATAATTTCCGGCCCTTTCTCTCTCTAACCTTCCTGCATGCTGCATGTTTTCTCCGTCTTCTAGAAAAACTGTTTCCTAGATTTCCTACTTTCTAACTAATCAGCCAACGGGATCTACCGAACACAAAAACAGCTTCATATGCGCTGCGCTCCAGCAGCGATGAGTTGAAATCACCGGGGCACAGATGATGAATCAGCTGAAAAGTACATGAAGTACCAGAGAATATGGGCGGATATAAACGATCGCAGGTGAATGACTTTGTTTTGGTGGAGCGATTTTGTGAATATAACAGCGGCCGCGCGCAGGACGCAGCTGGAGTATTTGAGCCGTCACCGCTGCGTCCTCTCTGCTCAGAGAATGCCCGCGAAGCTGAGTCCATGAATAACGTCATATATGTGGATACTGGATCTTTTTTCAGGCTTCCCGCAATTTGAATTTTTAGGAAACCCACATCTTGATTCTGGGTTTAAAAATGCGTTGTAATTACCGCGTAACTGACAACTGTACCGAGTAAATATTACCGTTTTCTTTCCCTGTAATGCCTTACATTACCACATTACAGCAAAAAGCAATGCATTACAGTAATTAATTACTTTTGTACCGCGTTACTGACAACTGTACCGAGTAAATATTACCGTTTTCTTTCCCTGTAATGCCTTACATTACCACATTACAGCAAAAAGCAATGCATTACAGTAATTAATTACTTTTGTACCGTGTTACTGACAGGTGTACCGAGTAAATATTACCATTTTCTTTCCCTGTAATGCCTTACATTACCACATTACAGCAAAAAGCAATGCATTACAGTAATTAATTACTTTTGTACCGCGTTACTGACAACTGTACTGAGTAAATATTACCATTTTCTTTCCCTGTAATGCCTTACATTACCACATTACAGCAAAAAGCAATGCATTACGGTAATTAATTACTTTTGTACTGCGTTACTGACAACTGTACTGAGTAAATATTACCATTTTCTTTCCCTGTAATGCCTTACATTACCACATTACAGCAAAAAGCAATGCATTACAGTAATTAATTACTTTTGTACCGCGTTACTGACAGTTGTACCGAGTAAATATTACCATTTTCTTTCCCTGTAATGCCTTACATTACCACATTACAACAAAAAGCAATGCATTACAGTAATTAATTACTTTTGTACCGCGTTACTGACAACTGTACCGAGTAAATATTACCGTTTTCTTTCCCTGTAATGCCTTACATTACCACATTACAGCAAAAAGCAATGCATTACAGTAATTAATTACTTTTGTACCGCGTAACTGACAACTGTACCGAGTAAATATTACCGTTTTCTTTCCCTGTAATGCCTTACATTACCACATTACAGCAAAAAGCAATGCATTACAGTAATTAATTACTTTTGTACCGCGTTACTGACAACTGTACCGAGTAAATATTACCGTTTTCTTTCCCTGTAATGCCTTACATTACCACATTACAGCAAAAAGCAATGCATTACGGTAATTAATTACTTTTGTACTGCGTTACTGACAACTGTACTGAGTAAATATTACCATTTTCTTTCCCTGTAATGCCTTACATTACCACATTACAGCAAAAAGCAATGCATTACAGTAATTAATTACTTTTGTACCGCGTTACTGACAGTTGTACCGAGTAAATATTACCATTTTCTTTCCCTGTAATGCCTTACATTACCACATTACAACAAAAAGCAATGCATTACAGTAATTAATTACTTTTGTACCGCGTTACTGACAACTGTACTGAGTAAATATTACCATTTTCTTTCCCTGTAATGCCTTACATTACCACATTACAGCAAAAAGCAATGCATTACAGTAATTAATTACTTTTGTACCGCGTAACTGACAACTGTACCGAGTAAATATTACCGTTTTCTTTCCCTGTAATGCCTTACATTACCACATTACAGCAAAAAGCAATGCATTACAGTAATTAATTACTTTTGTACCGCGTTACTGACAACTGTACCGAGTAAATATTACCGTTTTCTTTCCCTGTAATGCCTTACATTACCACATTACAGCAAAAAGCAATGCATTACAGTAATTAATTACTTTTGTACCGTGTTACTGACAGGTGTACCGAGTAAATATTACCATTTTCTTTCCCTGTAATGCCTTACATTACCACATTACAGCAAAAAGCAATGCATTACAGTAATTAATTACTTTTGTACCGCGTTACTGACAACTGTACTGAGTAAATATTACCATTTTCTTTCCCTGTAATGCCTTACATTACCACATTACAGCAAAAAGCAATGCATTACGGTAATTAATTACTTTTGTACTGCGTTACTGACAACTGTACTGAGTAAATTTACCATTTTCTTTCCCTGTAATGCCTTACATTACCACATTACAGCAAAAAGCAATGCATTACAGTAATTAATTACTTTTGTACCGCGTTACTGACAGTTGTACCGAGTAAATATTACCATTTTCTTTCCCTGTAATGCCTTACATTACCACATTACAACAAAAAGCAATGCATTACAGTAATTAATTACTTTTGTACCGCGTTACTGACAACTGTACTGAGTAAATATTACCATTTTCTTTCCCTGTAATGCCTTACATTACCACATTACAGCAAAAAGCAATGCATTACAGTAATTAATTACTTTTGTACTGCGTTACTGACAACTGTACTGAGTAAATATTACCATTTTCTTTCCCTGTAATGCCTTACATTACCACATTACAGCAAAAAGCAATGCATTACAGTAATTAATTACTTTTGTACCGCCTTACTGACAACTGTACTGAGTAAATATTACCATTTTCTTTCCCTGTAATGCCTTACATTACCACATTACAGCAAAAAGCAATGCATTACAGTAATTAATTACTTTTGTACTGCGTTACTGACAACTGTACTGAGTAAATATTACCATTTTCTTTCCCTGTAATGCCTTACATTACCACATTACAGCAAAAAGCAATGCATTACAGTAATTAATTACTTTTGTTCCGTGTTACTGACAGGTGTACCGAGTAAATATTACCATTTTCTTTCCCTGTAATGCCTTACATTACCACATTACAGCAAAAAGCAATGCATTACAGTAATTAATTACTTTTGTACCGCGTTACTGACAACTGTACTGAGTAAATATTACCATTTTCTTTCCCTGTAATGCCTTACATTACCACATTACAGCAAAAAGCAATGCATTACGGTAATTAATTACTTTTGTACTGCGTTACTGACAACTGTACTGAGTAAATATTACCATTTTCTTTCCCTGTAATGCCTTACATTACCACATTACAGCAAAAAGCAATGCATTACAGTAATTAATTACTTTTGTACCGCGTTACTGACAGTTGTACCGAGTAAATATTACCATTTTCTTTCCCTGTAATGACTTACATTACCACATTACAACAAAAAGCAATGCATTACAGTAATTAATTACTTTTGTACCGCGTTACTGACAACTGTACTGAGTAAATATTACCATTTTCTTTCCCTGTAATGCCTTACATTACCACATTACAGCAAAAAGCAATGCATTACAGTAATTAATTACTTTTGTACTGCGTTACTGACAACTGTACTGAGTAAATATTACCATTTTCTTTCCCTGTAATGCCTTACATTACCACATTACAGCAAAAAGCAATGCATTACAGTAATTAATTACTTTTGTACCGCGTTACTGACAACTGTACTGAGTAAATATTACCATTTTCTTTCCCTGTAATGCCTTACATTACCACATTACAGCAAAAAGCAATGCATTACAGTAATTAATTACTTTTGTACTGCGTTACTGACAACTGTACTGAGTAAATATTACCATTTTCTTTCCCTGTAATGCCTTACATTACCACATTACAGCAAAAAGCAATGCATTACAGTAATTAATTACTTTTGTACCGCATTACTGACAACTGTACCGAGTAAATATTACCATTTTCTTTCCCTGTAATGCCTTACATTACCACATTACAGCAAAAAGCAATGCATTACAGTAATTAATTACTTTTGTACTGCGTTACTGACAACTGTACCGAGTAAATATTACCATTTTCTTTCCCTGTAATGCCTTACATTACCACATTACAGCAAAAAGCAATGCATTACAGTAATTAATTACTTTTGTACCGCGTTACTCCCAACACTGGCTATCGGTGCATCACCTGACTTAGTTGCTCTGTGATTGGCAGGTCGTGGCACCACGTGTACTGCGTGATCAAAAACCAAGATCTAGTTTTCTACAAAGACAGCAAGGCGGCGGGTCAGAACGTGGCGTACCACGGCGAGCCGCCCGTCAGCCTGAAGGACGCCAGCTGCGACGTCGCCTCAGAGTACAAGAAGAAGAAACACGTCTTCAAACTCAGGTAACGCTGGTGGGTGGAGTCACGGATTGTCATGGAAACGGTCAGAGTTCTGTGTGGTTTGAACCTTCAGGTTCTTTCAGAATAGTAGTCCTCTATTAAACGGGTCTCGACGAGCTGCCTGATGACATCACTTCCTGTGATTGTTCTCTTTCAGAGTCACAGATGGAAACGAGTACCTGTTCCAAGCCAAAGATGAGGTGAGTTTGGTTCTGTCTAGTTGTGGTACAACCGGACCCTCTGGGCCCCTTTAGGTTCTGGAGAATTAGATGGAACCTTCAAAGGTCCAGATCGGCAGCGTGTGTTCTGATCTTTCTGACCCGTGTCGTCCTTCAGGAGGAGATGAGCACCTGGATCCAGGCCATTCTGAATGCCGGCACTGCCGACCGCTCCGAGATCCAGAGCAGCAACCCCGGCACGCCAAGTTCTGGCCGCGCTCAGACGCTGCCGGCGACCGTCGTGCTCGGTACCGAGTCCAGTCCCGGCAAGAGGGAGAAGGACAAGGAGAAGGACAAGGAGAAGCGCTTCAGTCTGTTCAGCAAAAAGAAACAGTAGAAGAAGAACTGTGAGGAGAGGCTTCGGTGAAACGGACCCGACGCTCAGACGCAGAACCGTTCGGGTTATGGTCTGCTTCAGAGCACCTGCTTTCAGTCCGGCTCCACGAAGGTCCAAACTGCACATCCACCTTCAAAATCTCCAGAAACCTTTGAGGAGCCGGACCTCATCAGCTGTTCACCCCCACTTCAGAAACAACAGGGTTCTGGTTCTGATCCATTTTTATTGGACTTCCCAAACCTGACTTAAGTTGAGAGGCGTGGTTTCCTGCTGATGACGTCACTCGTGATGTCACAGCCAGTGTAGGAGCTAAACTGCTGATGAGAAGTTTCACCAAAGTGTTTCTTTGACCTGGTTAGTGGTTCTGAAGGGTTCTGTTTTGTTGCGTGTTTCTTTGTGTTGTCGGCGTGGTGCCGCTTGGCTCATCGTGCTCTGTGATTGGTCACTCCAGCGCCACCCACTCTCAGGAGGAACACGCCCAACGAACAGCTGTTCGGACTTTAGTTTTTCCTCAGTTCTGTGAGGGTTCTGATGGACGAGAAACTGGACCAACGGTTTTTATTTGGATCATTCCTGTTTGGTGTAAAAACGAGCACTTGCATGCTTCGTGTAGTACTCACTTGGTTCTGTTGGGTCGGGACCTGCTCTGCGGAGCTCCGATCTCGCTGCTCTGCATCACCGTTATCGTATCCTAGCAACATGTATGACGTTCCTGCACAATCAGAGCTGATCGTATTTAACCCGACTCGGATCAGAACACGCTTCTCATGTATCTAACTGCACCTGTAGAATCTAATGCTGGTTCTGTCACGTGATCCAAGTCATTAAAGCTTTTAATCTGAAAGTCTCCGCTTCCTGTCTGGTCACAAGATCCTAAAACAAGCTCGACGTGGTGAATGGTTTTCATTTACACACGCAGCACCCTCTAGCGTCGCACAGCCCCCCAAAGTGCTTTACAACACCACAGCAGGCTGGGGCGTGGACGGGTGAGCGCTAGGCGCCCCTGGGTCCCTCTGGCCAACGGTGACAGACTGAGCCAGCCCGCGCTCCTCTGCCATCGCCGCTCTGGGAATCATTTTTCACGTTTTTTTCTTTTTCCTCGCGTCAAATTTGATTTGAAGTTGATGCTCAAACATGAAAAGCATGCTATCATGCTAGCAACACAAGTAAATCCACTGTGCTTCTGGTGTGGCACAACAGCAGATGGGGCGACGGTGGCACAGGAGTTAAGTGCTCACCCCGTAATCGGAAGGTTGCAGGTTTGAGTCCCACTCAGTCTGTCGTTGTGTCCTTGGGCAAGCACCTATCCCACCATGCCTGCTGGTGGTGGTCGGAGGGACCGGTGACGCCTGTTAAGGGCAGACTTGCTCCTGTCAGCATGCTCCACGGGACATCTCCACCAGGATGTGAATGGGTGAATGACTGATTGTGTTTTAATGCGCTTTGGGGGGTTCCAGGAATCTAGAAAGCGCTCTATATCAAATACAGACCATTTACCGTTTATTGTCATCGCTCCAATCAGAAGTAAGCTTTTCCGTGGCCGTGGTTAGATCAGGACATTCAGTGGGAAGTCCAGAGACCTTCATAGAGACAGATCCATTCTTACCTGTGGATTTAAACATTTCCTTTGTTCGTCCTGATCGAGGTGGGATTGATGCTTCTGAGGGAATAAAAGGCTCCTCCAGCGACACGCCTCCATCTGAACATGCTAATAGATGCTAGCATGTTCTGCAGGTTTGGTTCTCTTCTCTAGACCGTCACACATCATGTCTGCCCATGGAGGAATGGATGGAGATGGAGACACTTTTGATGGGGTTGAGACATGAGCTTCAGCCTCCTGGTTCAGACCCAGGACACCTGGACAACTCCCTGGTCCACCAGCTCCATCTAAAACCCTGTGTGGTCAGCAGCTGAGTGATCTGGCAGCAGTTTCTTACAAATGGTCCTGCTGATGAGTCCGTCTCACAGTGGTTACTCTGGAAGACCCTCTGGGTCTCTAGATCCAAGCGCTCTTCACACGGCTCCATCTGGAATCTCCTCAAATGAGACTAAAGGGATGTTCCGCTTTACTTTGCTCCTGTTTTAATACCCATCCACATGGGTGTACTGATGCTTCAACACATTTCTCTGCTGTATAAATATATATATATATATATATATATATATATATATATATATGTATGTATGTATATATATATATATGTATGTATGTATATATATATATATATATATGTATGTATGTATGTATGTATATATACATACATACATACATATACATATATATATACTTACTGCAAATGTGTCA